CCCCCCCCATTGATTAGCTGCAGTTGCTGGGTGAATTTACGAGGCATGAAGGCAGTTCTGGGGTTCCACATGCAGAGCGAACCCAGCCAGCGAGAAGGGGAGAGGCTGGGGACCTGCCCCAGACACTAACTCAAGTGAAAATGAGCAAGAGCCACGATTCTGTACGTCAGCCTCTTGGGACGTGTCGGGGGTGTGTGTGGATGGATGGGTGTATTGGGGGATGGGTGGATGGAGAGGTGTATTACTGGATGGATGGAGGGGGTGTGTATGGGGATGGGTGGCAGAGTGTATTGGGGGATGGATGGAGGGATGTATTGGGGGATGAATGGATGGAGGGGTGTGTATGGGAATGGATGGAGAGGTGTATTGGGGGATGGATGGATGGAGGAGTGTCTATGGGGATGGATGGAGAGGTGTATTGGGGGATGGATGGGTGGAGGGGTGTGTATGGGGATGGATGGAGGGGTGTATTGGGGGATGGATGGATGGAGGGGTGTGTATGGGGATGGATGGAGAGGTGTATTGGGCGATGGATGGCTGGAGGGATGTGTATGGGGACAGGCGGTGGGATGTGTACATAGGTGGGTAGATGGCTAGATGGATGGATGTGTAGGGGCTGGGTAGATTAGGTCCAGAAGCAGGGGGTTAGGGGGCTCGCAGGTGTTTTGTCCCCATAATGCCTGCCATATTGAACTCTTTGGTGAGCTCTACACTGGTAGAAGATGCCCGATGGGCCTGAACCTCCCATTTATTCTCAGAGCAGGTGCAGCAGTGTTGGCTCCCCCAACCATGACATTTTAATTATGAAGCAGAGGAGTGGGGTCTAGTGGGTAGAGCCACAAAGGCAGGGTGGGGTGGGAGCCAGCATGCCTGGGTTCCATTCTCGGCTTTGCTTTTAACTGGCTGTGACAGAGCCCTATGCCCTCCCTGTTCCTCAGTTTCCCCCTTGGACATAAGGAGCCTGCTGTCAGACACAAGTGGGGAGGGCTCGTTCCCTGTCAGACATGTCATGTTGTACAGGTAGGAGCTGCCCGGATGGGCAAAGGGGCCTGGGACTCGCCTCCTCATCCAGCCCCACCCCTGCATCCATCTCAGGGCCACTCCCCACATTACTGTTCCATACTGACGAGCCGTCTCCCCACCCCCACCCTGTCACATTCTCTTTCCCAACCCCTAGTGCTCCAGCTATGTTGTTGCTCTTCCCCATCCTCCCCCCCCCGCCCCCGCATGTTCTCCTTCCTGCCCAATTCTCCTTGACCCTACAGATAAAACCCCTCAGGTCCCTATTTCTTTCCCTTCCTGCCAGGAAACCCCCGTCTTAATCCTATGCCTCAGGATGGCCAACCTTCCAGGAGAACGTGTGTGACATAGCACATGGTGCCGGTGTGGGGGG